AGATGAACCAACCCCCATATCCCAGATCACTAAAGTAGAAAAACAGAATAATCTAGCTATAAATGTCTTTGGGCACGAAGGCAACACAACAATAGTACACAGGGTCAGCCCAGTGTTGGGGGTCCAAGTTATCAATATATTCATGATCCAGCGAGGTGAAAAGTATCACTACACGTGGATAAAACATCTCAGCCGGTTGTTGCACGATCAGTCGAAACACGTTGGGAAAAAACACTTTCGTGTGCGATGCCTACACGGTTTCAGCCGAGCTGATTTATTAGAATCCCACCGGGAGGATTGTCAAGGTGTGGGGCAGACGGCCATACGAGTCGACATGCCTAAGGAAGGTGACAATATCCTAAAATTTGACAACCACAAGAACCAAATGTCTGTGCCTTATGTTATATACGCCGACTTTGAAGCCTTGGTCAAACCTGTTGAGGCTGCCGCCGGCGGGGTTGTTGGGGGGACCCCAACCACACACAAAACACAGGAGCATGAAGCCTGTGGGTTTGGATACATTGTCGTCCGTTGTGATGGGGAAACGAAAGCTCCGGTAGTGTATAGGGGTCCTGACGCGGCTGAAAGGTTTCTTAAGTGTTTGCAGGAGGAAGAAAAAATTATTAGGAATGCGCTGTATACAATCGCTCCCATGCGTATGACCAGAGCCGACCGACTAGCTCACGCCTGTAGCACTAACTGTCACGTGTGTGACTCACCACTGAACCGTGATTCGGTGAGAGATCACTGTCACGTAACCGGTAAGTATAGAGGCGCCGCTCACAGCGCGTGTAACCTCAAGCTTAGAATCAACCCTAAGATAATAAACATCCCCGTTGTCTTTCACAACTTGAGAGGGTACGACTCTCATTTGATCATGCAGGCCATCGCGAAAATCGATGGTAATATAACGTGCATCCCCAACAACATGGAGAGATACATCTCCTTCAGCTTAAACGGTCTTAGGTTCATAGACTCGTTTCAATTTCTATTGTCTTCACTAGACAGTCTGGTCAAGGCCAACGATACCTTCCCTATTACCGATCGATACACAGACGCCGAGACTAGACCCCTGTTGATGAGGAAGGGTGTGTACCCCTATGAGTACATGGATAGTTGGGCCAAGTTCGCTGAGACCAGACTACCCCCCATCAGAGAATTTTACAGCAATCTGACCGACTCGGAAATATCCCAAGACGATTACTCACACGCTATTAAAGTAAGGAATAAACTGGGTTGTAGGAATCTGGGTGACTATCACGACCTGTACTTGAGGACAGATGTACTGCTGTTAGCCGACGTGTTTGAGACGTTTAGGCGGACGTGTTTCAAGCAGTATAAACTCGACCCTGCATGGTATTACACCAGCCCAGGTCTGTTGTAGGATGCCTTGCTTAAAAAGACCGGAGTTAAGTTGGAATTACTCACAGATTACGACATGCACCTATTCATTGAGAAAGGCTTTAGCGAGGTGGGATCTCCATGGCAACCAAACGATCTGCCAAAGCAAATAATCAATACGTGAAGGGCTCACGACCCAAGCAAGCCAACCAATCACATTCTCTACCTCGACGCCAACAACCTGTATGGCTGGGCTATGAGCCAGTATCTACCCACAGGGGGATTCGAATGGGCGTCACATGAGGTCGATGTTATGAGCATCGCGTCAGATTCGAACAAAGGTTATGTCCTCGAGGTTGACTTGGAGTACCCCAAGGCATTACACACATCACACAACAGCTACCCCCTGGCCCCCGAACGTATGAGGGTTAACCCAGACTGGATGTCTGAGTACCAACATAACTTATTAGGTGGGCGGTGGCAGACGTTGAAAACTCATGCCAAACTTAATGAATAAGACCAAGTACATCGTTCACTATCGCAACCTACAGCTGTACCTGTCGTTGGGTATGAGGCTGACCAAAATACACAGGGTGCTCATGTTCGACCAGAGCCCATGGATGGAACCCTACATCAGAATGAACACAGACCTCCAGCTTGCCACCAGTGACTTTGAGAAAACCTCTACAAGCTCATGAACAACTTCGGTGTTCGGTAAGACTATGGAGAACCTGAGGAAACGCGTGACTGTGAAGCTGGTTCGGTCGAATGAGGAAGACAAGCTCAGGAGACTGATAGCCAGTCCGCATTCAACCGTAGCAAGATATTCACCGATGACCTAGTTGCCCTACACATGAAGAAAAGCCACATAAAATTCAACCGGCCTGTTTACGTGGGGATGAGCATCCTCGATTTATCCAAACACCTGATGTACGACTTTTACTACAACAAGCTTAAGAAACAGTGCGACGACAGGTGTGAAGTGCTATACACTGACACGGATTCCCTGCTGATGGAGATTCGAACCGAGGGCGTGTAATGCGATGACATGAAAAACACCCTCGATTTGTATGCGACACCAGCGACTACCCCAAGGACCATGCCATACACGGTAAGGTAAATAAAAAGGTCCTAGGTAAGATGAAGGACGAGTGTGCTGGCACGCCCATAGCCGAGTACATAGGTTTGAGACCTAAGATGTACTCCATCCTGAAGGCCGACAATAGTGAGATCCGGAAGGCTAAGGGTGTTAAGAAATACGTGGTGAAACAACACATCAAACACGCCAGATTCAAGGAAGCCCTGTTCAAGACCCGTACCTTTAGACATAAAATGAACACACTTAGAAGTGATGGACATAGGATATACGGACTGACAATAAACAAGACGTCCCTGTCGCCTATGGACACTAAACGTTGGATAGCTATTGATGGGATAAACACGTACGCGTACGGGCATGAGAAAATTGAACCAAGAACATAGATATAAATAAATACCCTGTCGGGACGACATGTCACGGAACCAGAGAAAGTTTGAGGCTATTTACTATAGCCCGGCGTGGGTACTGGAAAGGAGCTAGCGCTGTAGATAAGCTGGCTAAAATGGCGAGTACCCCGAGGAAGCGCGCGTGGCTTGAAAAACAAGCCCTGTGGCAGATCTATTTGCCTCCACCACGCTTCATTACCTAGAAGGAAGTTTGGTATTAACATACCTAATAACGTTCACCAGGCAGACCTACTGTTCCTACCCCACGATAAGAGGTACAAGTATACCTTAACTGTAGTGGATGTAGCCAGTCGCTACAAGGAAGCCGAGCCCTTGACCACGAAAGATTCTGCCCAGGTAGCCAGAGGATTCGAACGCATATACAAACGCAGTCCGCTGACGTGGCCAACAGAGCTGCAAGTTGACCCAGGGCGGGAGTTCATGGGTGCCGTGTCACAACTGCTAGCCAAACACGATACAAAGGTCAAGCGTGGCACGGCCGGGGTTCATCGCAGCCAAGCCATAGTTGAGAGATTCAATAGGACTTTGGCTGAGCGCTTATTCGGCCATCAGTATGCGAGGGAGATGGCCACCCGGAAACGATCGACTGAATGGGTATCACGGCTCCCTAAGGTGGTGTCGGCAATCAACCATGAAGTCACCCGGCTCACTGATAAAAAACCGGCAGACGCTATCAAACTAAAATCAATAGTTGCAGAGTCGGCTGCTCCATTGCGTGGGAAGGAGAAACAGATACCAGATAGGGCCCTAGTTAGGTATCTTTACCAACCGGGGGAACACGAGGGTGATAGCTGTAAGCGAGCCACCGATCCTATATGGTCAATCAAAACTTACAACATAGATAAAGTTGACATGAAATCAGACGAGCCTACCTTGTACTACTTGAGGGATGGCCCAGGCAGAGGACTCGTTAGACAGGAATTATTGATCGTACCGTACGGCACAATGTTACCTCCTGTCAACAGCACGTGATGTGTGGCTGCGCGTGATCTACCCGTTAAACTGACCTACTTCAGCTAAGTCCGCGGTAGCTCAGTCGGTTGAGTGGTGCGACCCCATTATGTATAGTCTGCGCAAGCTGTACATGAGGGTTCGTATCCCGCCGTCACAACTTCGTGTGATGTGGTACACAATTCCCCTTGGGAGGAAGCGCAATACATTTCTATTTCTCCCTTGGGGAATTGTGGCTGCCGGGACATTTTACTACTTTTCAAAATAGTAGGGGTAATGGTAGCAAGAGCTAAGGGTCCGACCAAAGCCTTATTTCCCAAATAAGGCTTTGCAGAGGCTTTTGTTGGACTTGGTCCCGGACAATCATTATATCTACTACTCCTTGATTTCAACCCACTGATTCCCACCTACTGATTCCCACCCCTTGATTCCTGCCTACTGATTCCCACCTACTGATTCCCACCCCTTGATTTCAACCCCTTGATTCCCACCTACTGATTCCAACCCACTGATTCCCACCCCTGGATTCCCACCCCTTGATTCCCACCTACTGATTCCAACCCACTGATTCCCACCTACTGATTCCCACCCACTGTTTCCTACCCACTGATTCCCACCCACTGTTTCCTACCTACTGATTCCCACCCACTGTTTCCTACCCACTGATTCCCACCCCTTGATTCCCACCTACTGATTCCCACCCCTTGATTCCAACCCACTGATTCCCACCCCTTGATTCCCACCTACTGATTCCCACCCCTTGATTCCAACCCCTTGATTCCAACCCCTTGATTCCCACCTACTGATTCCCACCCTCTGATTTCCACCTACTGATTCCCACCCCTTGATTCCAACCCACTGATCCCCACCCCTTGATTCCCACCCCTGATTCCAACCCACTGATTCCCACCCCTGATTCCCACCCCTTGATTCCCACCTACTGATTCCCACTCTCTGATTCCCACCCCTTGATTCCAACCCCTTGATTCCAACCCATTTGATTCCCACCTACTGATTCCCACCCTCTGATTTCCACCTACTGATTCCCACCCCTTTATTCCTGCCCACTGATTCCCACCCCTTGATTCCCACCTACTGATCCCCACCCCTTGATTCCAGCCTACTGATCCCCACCCCTTGATTCCCGCCTACTGATTCCCACCCAGTGATGAAAGTCAAGTCCACCCCCATCAGTATCTCACATCTGCTAGGTCCTCCTCATCCAGAGTCTTATCAGCCTCGTCTTGCAGCACCAGGGATGACGGACAACTCCATTCCTCTTCTGGCAACATCTCTACTGCGACAATATCATCATGGACGGCACGGTTCATGTTCTGAAGACCTTGTACAAAGATCTGAAACACAAACGATCCATCACACAATGGGTATTAGTAAACACTAGGATCTCCTACATGAGGTGATGTTTGAGATTATTGCACTTTTATAGCATTTAGCTACGTGTGGGGAATCAAACCCGGGACACAAGCAGACACTTTAACCACTCCACTCCACTTCACCACCCACCGTGTTTCAGTGTTGCATATACAGACCACTCACCATCCTCTCCTGGTCGTGGGCGCTGACGCTGGCCTCCTTGTAGTTTTCCCGGCTTGCCAGAAAACTGCCCTGGTGATACTTCCCAGACTTGATCCCGCGCTGGATCTCGGACAGCCCATGGTGCTCAGGGTATATCACACGGCTGTCTCCGACCTGGAGCAGGAACACCTCAACACTTTATACACATGTACATACTTCCCCTCTACTTCATCACTTACACTCATTCATTTCATGCTTGTTATTGTAATCGGGCCAAGTCTAAATATAAATATTAGATTTTTGAACAGTTACCTTTGATACAAATTTTCAGAAGAAAGACAACATGTATGGCACTGACAGACGTAGTAAAACAATGATGGCAAACCAGGAGTCAAACCACGATCACAGGTGTCAGGCACATCTCATCCTCGATAATCTCCAGGGTATACGTTCCGATAAATCTCCACTAAACCCTGGATGCATCTACGGCTCGAGCCAATGATTTTATTACCTCCCTTTGCTGGCTCCGCATTCTCACAGTAGCCAATCAGATAAGCTGCCGTTACAACCGAGCTAGCCAGTGTCAACAAAGATAGTGGTCGCAGCCGCGAAAGTTTGTTCGCAGTGCGACTTAGATTTGGGGGGAAAACATACAGACAAATTGACAGGTCTGGAATCTTAAAAGAATATATGCAAGAACTCCTTCTACCTCTTTCAGAGTACCTCTGCAACAATATATTATTGTGTTGCCAAGTTTAATCGGTTAGATAATTTAAAAGGCGACAGTGAGTTGTGATTTGTATGCATGACTTCCCAGCATAGACACCTGATCGGATAAAAATCCAACCAAGGGAGGTAATAAAATCATCGGCTCGAGCCGTAGATGCATCCAGGGTATAGTGGAGATTTATCGGAATTGGCACCTGTGCCTCTCCACATGCTGACTAAATACTTTTCAGTTTAAATCACTGGAAACCCCTCCGGAACCTGTCTGAAGTCCCTCCAGAGACAACCCCTTGGGATTCTGGTACAAATATAGGTCACCAGCCACCTATGCTGGACATAGAGGCCACAAGATGTATGGGGTGGTCAAGCTTGGTGACCTGATTGATTGTATATCATCACAGCCCAACTGCATGGATCGATGCTTTTGATATTAATCATTGGATTGTCTGGTCCGGTCCAATGTCATAGAGCTTGAATACTGTTGAGGGTGTTGTTAAACAACAGACACAACATAACAACCCAAAACTCCCCTGGAACAAGCAGTCTCATCACCCCAAGACGAAGTCACCTACCATGGAACGAGCAGAGCTTGCCAGTCTGTCCACAAGTTCAGAAGCATTTTTGAGACTATTTACATAATCCTCAACTGAAACAACAAAAAGTCATAAACACGTTTAATAAACTCCTCTCAGGTAGTTGTTTTCATCGAACATCACTGCCTTAGATAATACTGATATTGATCATGCTAATTATGCAAATCTGGGCATCTTGGGATTCTGGGAGAAAATAGGCCATTGGTGCCCAATCTTGTCAGACTGACATGGAGATTGGTGGAAACAATGCATGCCCTTGTTAATGTACCAATCAAATGTCAATCGAACCTGCCAGTATTTATCCAATTGAATAGTTGCATTTCTTTTGTGACCTTGACCATGATAACACAACTTCCTTCACCTTTGCGGGGCGGTAGGGTAGCCTAGTGCTTAAAGCGTTGGCTCGTCACGCCGAAGACCCGGGTTCGAATCCCCACATGGGTACAATGTGTAAAGCCCATTTCTGGTGTCCCCCGCCGTGATGTTTCGGAATATTGCTAAAAGCGGCATAAAAACTCAGTCAGTTCTTCACCTTTGCAGAATTTTATGGTCCCAGAAGGCTTTTTGCAAGTGTTAAAATTTACCTGGGGTATGTTCTTTGGTCTGTGGGAAGCTAATTTGTCATACTGATTAGGGTTGTCACGATACATAAGTTTCATGAATCGATACGTTTCACGATACCCATGTCACGATTCAATATGTATCAAGATACCTATTTTTGCGGGATTATTGTGTAAATTTAGTTACATTTTGAACATTAATATTTCATATTTTATAATTGTCCATGAAAAGATCAACATTTTTTATTCTCAGAGATTAAAAAGTTCTAATTTCCCATCTTTGTGCATGAAAAATAATCATTTATAACTCTCATAACATCAAAAAACATGATACAATTGCAAAATGTAAACGATACATAAACATTTTTAAACTGATACTTTCAAAACTAAACATCGATACAATTTTTATTGTATCGATAATTTTATCGTCTTAAAAAAAGTATCTATGCATAGATGTATCGTGGCAACCCTAATACTGATGGTGCACCCTGAAGGTCTCAGGGTTCCAGATAACTTTTGGGGGTGCGAGTGTACATACACATCATATTGCAAGTGGAGGTGTACTGAGAATTTTGAAGGAGTACTGACATGTTTTTGTGTGAGCAAGTTGGTGATGTGGTTTGTCTGGACGATTCATCGATCACTATTTCCAACCATGTATTTGTATTTGAAGACGCGTGAGAAATAACTGAGCGACCGTGTGATGCGCGAAATGTCTGGTCCGACTGGATATAAATAGGAACAGTGTAGTTTTTAGCCAATCGAAAATAGTGACGCATATCGTTGCATCGCAACGCAAGGGATTCCTACTGTCGGGGTTTCCTCATGTGTCAAATCGTGTTTCGCAAAAGAAACTTGACAAGTATTTATCCGAAACAGATTTCCATTTGCACGATACGCACCGAAAATAAATGTTAGACATACAAAAGGTATTTATGTGAGTACACGATACTCTTGAAATCTTATATTATGTCGTACTTAATTGATTTTGAGGCGTACATTACGCCTGTACGCCTCTTATCTGTAGCCCTGGGTCTGATGTACTTGATCTCACACAGGCTCCTGGGTCAACCATGATCCCAATAATTAGCACTGATCCATGACATAACTTCTTTGAGTGCCATTTTAGAAGTTTGAAAGTACAACATTGACAAACTTTACAAATAACAACCACTTTTCTTTCATGAGGGTGACATTTTGAAAGAAATTCTTGTACCATCGTCAAGCAGGAATCTAACATGAAGTGGCGGGGATGTTCATATGTTACAAAGTAGAGGATTATATGTTATTTAATTATCCATGTTATACATGATGTGTTTATTCTCATTGCAGATCTCCATCATTTATGATCAATCGTGAATAAACAGTCATCTGTAAAAAGTATTGCCTACTTATTTACAAAGAAACCAACATAATTGGCTGGGCAGTAAGTTGATTAAGTAAGTGAGTTAAGGAGATATCGATGTACAAATCAAAGTACTTAGTTTAGAAAGGAGATGTTTATACAGTTGATTAGGCTTGGTGGATGAGTGCATCATAGACAGATATTCTTGATCTCGGTTGATGGTGGGCTTTTGGCGTTTGATGTGAATAGCTTTGATAAATTTAAGTTTGGTGAAGTAAAAGAAATAAAAGAAATATACAGACAAACTTTATGGATAAACAACTTCTTTATTCGGTAGATGCGACGTTTCGATACAGATTCTTGTATCGTTGTCAAGCAAGTATACTTGCATATTGTCTTCCCCCCTGTCATAGCCTTCATATGAAGTTGTTTATCCATAAAGTTTGTCTGTATATTACTCTCCAACTTCGAAACAATGCCACTCAAAGAAGAAATAAAAGAAGTTGTTATCCATAAAGTTTGCCAATACCGTAACATTACACAGTTTACAGAAGTGAAACAACATCCGCTCCCATAGTTCCAACAACTTACAAGCATAGCAGGTTATCCCCTCCTTAGTGGCCTTGACCTTGTTGTCAACATCGTTGGTAAGAAGCACAATGTTAATGGCCGGGGAGGCACCGTTCAGATGGTTCTGGTACCAGGTGCATGCTGTGCGGATAGCTCGGTCATTCCGGTCATTAGAAGACTCTCCTGGCTTCCTCTCCACAAACGTGTCTCTGATGTCAAACAGAATGAAAGCTTGAATTCCAGGATCCTACGTTATCAATATAAGCCAAGATTTGAATTTTCAAGGTGAAAACTTCACTTCATCATCATGTTCATTTTAGATCCCCCAAACATTGTTCGCTACTTTCGAAAGACTCTATACAACAGTTTTGATTATGACGGGTTCAATGTATTCTTTTCGTATCTGTAATTACACTTTGGTGTTCCCCCCTGTCATAGCCTCATTTACCTGTGGTATTCATTCGAGAATGTGTAGAAGTGCTTGTCTGAGTTTCCCAGCTGATCTTTTAACCTCTTGTAGACAGGAATACTTTTATGTTTTACCTGAAAAATGGAACTGTTCTGTAATGCACATAATATAAGTTGTCTTGAAGACAGCATATAAACAAACTTGATTTTGAATAAAGTGGGGGGATATGCCTAATGTATTGCAGTATGCTCAATACAACAGCATAATTCATCATGCTCAGAATCATCATTTTACTTTTTTAAATGATCCCTAATATTATCATGCTGAGTAGGGGTGGTGGGGTAGCGGGGTATCCTAGTGGTTAAAACGTTTGCTCGTCACGCCAAAGGCCCGGGTTCGATTCCCCACATGGGTACAATGTGTGAAGCCCATTTCTTGTGTCCCCCGCAGTGATGTTGCTGGAATATTGCTAAAAGTGGTATAAAACCATACTCACTCACTCATGCTGAGTATTTTCAAACTCCAAACATGTGTAATTATGAAAATTGTGAAAGTCATGTACACATAAACATGATAAATCATATAAAACTTTGACTTTGCTGAAGTCATCATAGTCACGGCAAACTTGGCAACATGATTAATGAAGTCTTAAGTGTTTAGTTGAATGTAGAATTTCCTATCATTATAAGAATGCCAGTCTGATATCTTACCTCTTCTATGACTGTTTGAAGAATAATTGCATTCTGAATGCCTTTATCTTCAAGAACATCAAACTGTGAAAAAGAAACAATATTAGCATGATTAGTCCAGAGGACATTAGCATAGTCACTAGTTTTTTCAACAAAAAGAATCTATCTTTCAGCATCGACTGAACCATGTAATTAAACATAAAAACATTTGATGCAGCCAATGAATTTACATCAAGTGTATCAGTAATGCAACTCAGATCACGCATTACAGTTACAAAAGTTATTGTTGTGGGATATTGTTTTGTCATGTGCATCATTTGAGTAGGGGATTGTTTACAGCTGGGAAAGCAGTAAACAGGATTTCTTAGTTTGGAGATGTCATCTATTATTGACCATATTACGTTATTTTCATTTTTTTAAATGTAAGTTTGACTGAGCATGCTCTTAAGTATCCTCGTGTCACGATATGATACTGTTCTGATGCTGAAGAACATCCATTGTTTTCTTGATTATAACATGAATAACTGCAAAACATGTCACTTACATCATAGACCATATATGGTCTCTGTTAACATATAAAAGACAACTTTATATCTTAAACAGAAACCTTCATCCGAGTATTTTACAATACCGTCAACATGGTCAATGGAATGCCTGAAAACGTGATGTGATGTCTGAAAATATATACTACCCATCAAAAGTTTAGACTCACTTAAAGCACTCACTATATGTTATGTATATGTATGTGGTTACATCGAAGATGAATTTCTCCACCAACTTGGGGGAACCAACTGAAAACCTTATGCAGATGAATTGCACAAGGATGATGCTTCAAATTGCGAAAGGCATGAGCAAATGTCGTGCATGTGAACAGATGCGTTTTGGTGTAAAGTTTTGTTAAGAATTCGCCAATTTTCACAGATTTTAATCATTTACTGAACTCATGACAATAATCTTTTCAATGTTACGAATATGTTTTACAATACACCAGTTCATAACTAAACAGTACCTTTAAACAGTATGGAATATTTTGCAAAAAGCTAGTTTAGAACAGTGGACAAGTAAGTGGCTACATTTACACTAGTGAGTCTAAACTTTTGATGGGTAGTATATGATCTGAAGTAGCCCAGAGCCGCGATGCGGTCCAATACAGTAAGATTACAGAACATTAACACATTGTACAGGCTTCAGATCACCCAGTATTACATCGCTTTATGCAGAACGGGCTGTTGGTCGTAGGGATTACCTGTTCAGAAGAAATTGACTCTCCCTATTATACTCTATGACACTGTTCACACGTCCAAAACTACAGATCGTCTGCACTGCTTACCTGATGCAAGACAACGTTCGTGTCGGGTACGATGTAGTGGCGTGTCGGGCACAGGCTGCTGTCAGTGGATGGTTCCGAGACCAGTACTTGGGAGCCATCAGAGTGTTCACAAGATTTGCAAATTTCCGATCCACACGTTATGTCATCTCTCAGATAGTGCTCCCTGACTATTTTCATCACACTGCCTTTCTTCGTCTTCTTGACAAATACTTTATTAGTCAACATCTTGATTAGATTTTGACAAATACAAAGGAAATCCACAATAATCACAACTTCATTTCCTCGTTATCCGCACGTGGGAACCATGTTGTTTATGCTTTCATTTAACCGTTTGTAAACTCTTAGAATTGAATGGATAAACGAGTCTTCAGTAGTCGTTAAACTCGACTTCTTTGAAGAGTTTAAAGGGCGATAAATGACAAAAGAGCATACCACTAACAATTAGTGTATTGAGCTAAGTGAGTTTGCATTTGTATTACTGGGGCGCTGAGTGAAAACAGAAATCGGGGAACAGAAGAATCTGTGGCAGTAATAACCAAATGTGGAAAGCTGGCAATGAGAGTGCCATATGATGAGAGAATTGTAACAAGAAAACATGTTAGAAGCGTTCGTATAATCATCGTAAAGACGCAATTTATCTTAATCGTAATTCGTTGTGATTCACATTGGTCGTAAAGATAATTAATACGGCATATTTCCATTCAAACAAACGTGACAAATAATGATATACAGAAATGTATTAAACGGTGGTATCGTTCAACAACTACCCAATGATATATACAACATTTTTGTAAAAAAACATATGTCTTTTGTAAATACCTTGTACATCTGAATATGTTTGATTGTGTTTACCAAAACTATATTTCTACACTCAGAGGCATAATCATCTCCGCCGACGACCTGGGTTCGATTTCCCTCATGGGTACAATGTGTGGAGCCCATTTCTGGTGTCCCGTGCCGTGATAATGCTGGAATATTGCTACAAGCGGCCTAAACCATATATACTCACTCACTCCACCAGTTCGTTACTGAAAGTCTTCTATGCGCATACATTTCCAAAAGCGGCCTCAACCATATATACTCACTCAATCACTCAATCACCCACCCACCCACCCACCCACCCACCCACCTTTCCACATCAGGATCGGGTGGCCAGGCTTGCTACCAAGGCTGGGTATCTTCTAATGTTGACTGCGTGTCATGGATCGTTGTTCATTATATCAATCACTGGATATCGCCGTCATCTAGCTTGATCATTATAGAGGGCGGCGTCAATCACCACACACACGCACGCCCGCCCGCACCCCCACACGCGCATTTGGGAATAAAAGCCTCTTTTCGTAGTATTCAATTTCATTTCACGTTGTTTTCAACTGTATTTCAGTTATAAGACAGACGTATTAGGTTTATTTTAAAGAACAACATGAACGTTTAAATCATTTGAAATGATTATATCGTTTTGAATACATTGCTCACAATTAGCGCAACAACTTAACAGGCCCTCAGATTTCTTATCAACGTCTCATGTCAAATAATAGATGTCAATCTTTATATTTATTATATGTGGGCTGTTTTATGTGATTCAAGGTGAATAAAACAAACCACGTTACCAAGAAGGCCCTAGTCTGTCATACAAACCCTGAAACAAATATATCCAAGAAAGCCCATGCACGTCTAGAATATGTGGCAAGTCTAGATTTCCACAGTTTCAGGCTGAAAATGGCGAAAGTCTTTGGGCTCCTTTTCATTATATTTTATGATTATTTTTTATGAACAGTTTTTTTTCTGTAAAATATGTTCATTTCAGAGACTAGATGTTAGTCTAGGCTTGCCCCTCATCCAGTAATTCTTATTTTTCGACTAGATCTAATCCGTAGCTAAGGAAGTTTGAATGTAACGTTATCGGAAGACTTACCGTTTGCTCCAGATAAGAAGTCAGAATCGCATTAGTGAAACATTAATCAAAACACCTCTCACACAAGGCTGAATGTTGTTTAACGTCCCTATCAACAGAAACATCGACATTGATGTAACGGTGGCCTGGAGATATTCCAGCGGAGACATTTCCTTGAGTTGGAAGATATACAAACACGCCATGACATATATACAGAACGAAGGCTATGGAGTGAGTGAGTGAGTTGAGTTTTACGCCGCGGTCTGTAAATAATTGAGTCCGCGAGCCTGACCACCCGATCGCATAGTCACCTTTTGTGGCATGGGTTGCTGAAGACCTATTCTACACGGATCTTCCGTAAGCTATGGAAAGTGTATTGTACTTTAACAATGGTGGTTGCATTGGGTGGTTGGTTGGTTGGTTTAACGCCTCACTCAGCAATATGCCAGCTATATGGCAGCGGTCTGTAAGAAATCGAGTCTGGACCAGACAATCCAGTGATCAACAGCATGAGCATCTGGGATACGATGACATGTGTCAACGAAGTCAGCGAGCCTGACCACCCGATCCCATTAGTCGCCTCTTACGACACGCATAGGTTACTTTCGATCAATTCTAACCCGGATCTTCACGGGTCTTTAACCATGGTGAGTCGCGACCCTGCATGTATGACCAGTGGCGGGGTATGTGGCGGGGTTTTCGGGTGAGACACGATTGATTTTCTGTAATAACCTCACACTGGAGAATTTAGACTGAGAATGGAAGGTAATCCAATGAAAGTCACGAATACACAATGCCATTTAGAACATGGTCAAACTACGGTAACATGTTATAATTGTGATTACATTTTCTCAGTTAAGTACTGGTTCTAATACTTTTCTTAGGTTGAGTCCCATCCGGGATTCGAACCCACACTCTCTGAGTCAGGCACCTAATAATCGACAGGACGCAAAGTCAGCTATCTAACCCACTCAGCCACCGTCACTTCAGTCAAAGTTATTGTATTGCTTGTTTATTTTCAGAAACTAAAGTTCTGTTCAAATCGGTCTAACGGTATTGTCCCTCACATGCCGATGCATATTTTCTCGTCATTCTGGTCCCTAAATCTACTGTTTTTTGTGGTCAATTTGGTTAAGACCTGTTATCTCTTCATTTTAGTATATAATTCTAGGTGTGTTATACTCAAAGGTCAAAGTGACACCCATCGTAAAGATTTATTGACGACTTTTTAAGTTAATGATAATGATACATGGCTTATACATGCAACTTTCCCGTGCAGATTCGGGTTAAAATTGTTCTTCAACAACCCATGCTTGTCATAGGAGACGAGTAACGGGATCGGGTGGTCGGGCTCGCTGGCTTGGCTGACACGTGTCGTATCCCAATTGCGTAGATCGATGCTCATGCTGTTGATCACTGGATTGTCTGGTCCAGACTCGATTATTACAGACCGCCGCCATATAGCTGCAATATTGCTGAGTGCGGCGTAAAACAACGAACAAAGAAACAATACGTGTAAGTCTACACAAACTGACCAGTATCCTGTCTATGGATGCAACACTGGTAGCGGGTACCTTGATGAGGTGGCTGTAAATACTGGGGCTCAACAGTCACACTTCAAACTGGCTTTCTTTTTCTAACTAATGTTCCTCTCTAAACGTGTATTACATATTTTTCATCATAACTCGCGTTTCACAAAATACACAGCTGTTGGTTAGAATTTTAAATATTTGTTTAAATATCAGTTTGGAAAGATAATTTGCAGGCTGTTTGGGACTAGCTGGAGTATTAGTTCCATGATCACAGATATTTCTGCTTTTAGAGTGTATCTTGAGTTACACGCATGTACTGCATAACTTATCCCAGGTCGGTATGATGACGTCACAAGAAGGGAACAGGGATTCTGACAGAAACGGATTAGGAAGATATGACAAGTAACCTCTGTGGGAAGAGAATGACAGAAACTATCAACTAAACAGATATATGCTTATATGACCAATATGTGGTCTCACCTTAGGCAAGTGAGTTTGTTCATGAATTGCCTCTGTGTCACGCAGCAGTAATGGGTACCCGGTAGGATAAGTCATGACTGTTAACCTTCTAGCGCCTCACTGGCAGTTTGGGTCATCCGGGGTAATAATGCGTCAGCGCTTTGAGCATGCACAAGAGCGCGTAGTCTGTCATAGAGACCCTGAAGCAAATATATCCAAGAAAGCCCACGCAAGTCTAGAAACGTGGCAAGTCTAGATTTCCACATTTTCTGAAAATGAAGAATGTCTCAGGGCTCCTTTTCATTCTATTTTTATTCTTTTTACTATGAACTTTTTTCTGTAAACTATGTTCACTTCAGAGATTATAGTTGTTAGTCTAAAGAGCGGGGAAACAGGCGCTTTATAAATAACCATTATTATTATCACTATTATTATATGACGGTGCCACCAGTTATTCGTACAATTTTCCGGATGCCACCGTGGTTACGCTGGATACAATTTGTCAATGTAGACTTGTATTTTCGTCTTTTTCTTTTCTATTGAAAGGTTAAATATTGACAAAAAATACCTCTCAGCTTCTTTTCTGGAATGGTCTTGCAGTTTATTTGAAAGTCCCAGTCTGATTCACTTGTAGTGACTCTGTGATACACTGATATGACTCAAGAGGTCTAAATTGGATGCCAAGACAAATTAAGTCGTACGCCGGATGCCTGGAGGGGAGGGTGGCACCCTCCATTAACCCGAGCTGGTTGTAATTGCGTTATTGGCTAGTTCTGTGTTAATAAACATGATCTGGTTATTTTAAAAATAATATGATATGATTGAAGCTATGTTCCGCTGTCCCGCGTTGCTATAGGTACTCGCAACGGTTGATTGTAAATGACTTGACTGAGCTAGCCGTACCTATGGTAGGCACCATAATAAAATACGCGGATCCAGGGGTGTGGGTGGTGGGGTTTGCAGGGGTGCGCCCCAACCCCCACCCCTTTTGTGCTGAAGGTTTGTTAAATGACCATTGAAACTCGGGTGAAATTGAAGTGTGCACCCCTCCTTTTCTCAATAGTGCGCACACGCACACTTTCTCAAAAAGCTGTATCCGCCCCTGCATAAATGACGGTCTCCGCAATCAGCAGTCACAACACACAATCCCCTACATGGCAGCCACCCGATACTCATTCTGCTCCGCTACGAGTCATCAATTTTCACCTGTATAACCCTTGTCGAGTCTGACCTTACAACAAATGAATGCCTCGTTCCAACCCTTTAACCAACCCGACTGACTTTGGTTAATTAATCGTTTGTTTGTTTCACATGACGTTTTCTTCAATACTGACTGTTAGGGATTATTTTCATCTTCAGTAGATATTAAATCTACAGAAATAACTTTATCTAAAATATACCAAGTGATCCCACGGCCACGTTCTGTTAAACTGGTTCCACTTT